GGTTCTCAGCATGGTCTGCCGAGTTCAGATCGCGTCCAGCTTTAACCCGCGGCACACACTAAAACCTAAGGTAGATGTGAACGTAGGGTTCTTCCTCATCGTGTTAACCACCCTGTACTCTCTTCCCACTGACCAAGAAATAGCCCTGTGGGTGAACAAAACCACGTGTGACCATAGGCAGCCCCTTGGGACAACCTTCAACACAGTGACCCAGATTCTCAATGGCAGAGCCGTGGAAAGGGATCAATGCTTCTGGCTCAAGGGGCCTAAGGGAAGGCCCAGCGGGCTTCACGCCCCTTGCCCCATCCTAGAGCATACAGAGCTCTGACCCTGAGATGCAGGACAGAGGTTGACTGAACCCTGGTTTTATAGCAGGGAAACTGGCCAGTTGACAAGTTTTTTTGTTGGGGTTCCTTTTGTAAATTGCTTTCCTTTGTCGTCTCTGCATGGCCCGTCCTGCCCCAACTAATGATCTACATACTATGCTCAAGTCTCTAAAAATTGCCCCCCACCTCCCTACTTTCCTCGGAGTCTCTCCTGTGCTCCCAGAAAACGGTGCTCGGGATTCCCTGTGCACAGATGGAACTCAGCACCGGTTGGGAAAACCATTTCAAGAGGGGGTGTGCAACAGAGAAGACTGTCCTATGTGCACGGCGAGTCTGAGAAAGGGACATCCAGGCAGAGATGGCCAGGATGCTTTTGACTACAGAGGAGGGAAACCCGGGAGAAAAGCCAGAGTTAGAAGGAGGCCAAGAACGGCCAGCCTCGAAGAGCAGTGTGGAAGTGTAAGGCAAGATAGGAAAGGAAGATGGCAGAATGGATCTTAGAGCATCACTGAGAAGAAGGCAGAGGAAATCCAGCCCTTTCAAGTTAAACAGCTCTGCAGGGTCTCCCGGAGCCATCCAGGATGCCTCAGGAAATCCAAGAACAACAGCAGGACTAGTTTGTTGATCAACATTTGCAAATGTGAAATTTAATTTAGAAAAAAGAACTCAAACAGGATATTGTGCAACCAGAGCTGTTGCTGTAAGCTGGAAAATATCTGTGAGGGTGGAATTTCTTGCCTTGATTATTGAGAACACTTCCTTGCAAAAAGTTTAGCTTTGATCATGTCAAAGGAAACCGTAAGTTTGTAAATTCATTTAAAAGTCCACTTTGGCTTTCCTCAACCTGCAGTGGTCTGACTTCCGGCAACCTAAAGGAGTAAGAAAGTTGTAAGGATGTCAGGCTCACTGTGGGCTCAGTTCTCTTTTTAAATCTATAATCATTATGATTTTTTTAAAATATGACTGCCCTTTAGAGGTAATTCTCACATTTACAAAAAGGTTTCTGTGTTACCATTACTTTTCAAATAGCACCTGTGCAGCCAGGATGGGTTCAGAGGTTACTGGCTGTAATTCAGACGGTCAGAAGACCTCTGTCTTAGTTAGTGTTCTATTGCTGTAAAAAGACACCATGACCACGGCAACTTGTATAAAGGAAAACATTTAATCGGGGCTGGCTCACAGTTTCAAAGATTTAGTTCCTTATCATCAAGGCAGGAAGCAGGCAGACATGGTGCTGGAGAAGGAGCTGAGAGTTCTACATCTAGATCTGCCAGCAGCAAGAAGTGACGGTGGCACACTAGCCAGGCTGAAGTGTCTAAGATCTCGAAGCCCACTTCCTAGTGACACACTTCCTCCCATAAAGACACACCCACTCCAACAAAGCCATACCTAATAGTGCCACTCCCTCTGAGTCTATGGTGCTGTGGAACAATCCTTCTGTACACTGTGAATATATATTACTCTCATTGGTTAGTCAAGAACTGACTGGCTAGTAGTCAGGGAGGAAGTGTAGGTGGGACAGTCAACTGAGAATTCTGGGAGTCAGAGAGTCAGCACTCAGACGGAGAGTAAACAAGACATGCCAGAGAGGTAAATGCCACTAGATGAATAGAAATGAATTAATTTCAACTGGGTGAGGGTGGCATATGCCTTTAATCCCAGCACTCAGGAGGCAGAGGCAGCAGGATCTCCGTGAGTTCAAGGTCAGCCAGGTCCACAAAGAGAATTCCAGGACA